GGTCTCGTGTGTGCTCGGCTGCCTTCACAGCCCTCGGCCGCGGCGTTCGCACGGCCTGTCCGTCGGCGGAGGGAGCGGAGCGCGCTGGGGGGCGGGAGGCAGCCGAAAGGAACCGGGGCTGCGTTGCGAGGCGTGGGAAGGCCTCTGTTGCAGACAGGCGCGACTTTCTGTGGCCAAAGCAAAGCTGCCCCTGGCCTTCTGGAGCAGCTGCCCCCTGCAGACACTTCTTCCGTTGCTGTCTGGTTTCCCGGCTTTGTCAGCAAAGCCTGGCAGAGAGCAGGCCCCGTAGGCTCATCCCTTGCGGCTCGGAACACGTTGGGGGTGAGAAGGACAGTGGGGTAGTTTCGACAGTACCTGCATGGCTGTGTTGGATTTTTAAAATTGTTAACAGATTTCTTCTGCTACCAGTCCCTAAACTCTTTCAGGACCCTAAAAAACTGTCATTCCCAGGGGTCTGGTATCCTGTATTTGGAACCTAGCATATGCTCAGCGAATGTAATCCCAGAGGCTAGAAGGTTGAGGTGGGAGGATTGCTTGAGGCCAGGAGTTCCAGACCAGCCCGGGCAACTTGATGAGACCCTTTGGTTTCTACGGTAAGCTGCGATAGCACCACTGTACTCCAGCCTAGGTGACAGAGTAAGACCCAGTCTCTAAAAAAGTAAATAAACTGTTAGAAGGCTCCTTATCATGTGATTCCATTTATATGAAATGTCCAGAGTAGGTAAATCTATAAATTAAAAAAATAGATTAATGGTTACCAGAGGCCGGGAGGAGAAAGACCAAGCAGTAGAGATGAAAATGGAAGTGACTGATAATGAGTAATTTCTTTTGGTGCTAATAAAATTGTTCTGAAATTAGAGTGGTGAGGATCACGCAATTCTGTGCATACACTAAAAAAACACCGATGAAATAAATCAAAGAGAAACTAAATAAATGGAGAGCTATTTCGTATTCATGCATAGAAAGACTCAATGTTAGCAAGATGTCAGTTCTTCCCAACTTGATACACAGATTCAATGTAATTCCAGTAAAAATCCTAGCAAATTCTTTTTGGGATTTTGACAGACATTGAGTTTATATGGGAGAGGCAAACGACTCAGAATAACCAACATAATATTGAAGGAAAAGTACAAAGTTGGAGGACTAACACTACCTGAATAAACAAGACAGGGTGATATTGGCAAAATAATGGAAATATAGGTCAATGGAACAGAATAGAGACCACAAAAATAGACCCACATAGAGCCAACAGATATCTCACCAAGGAAGATATACTAACGGCAAATAATCATATTAAAAGATGCTTAGCATCATATATCATTAGGGAATTGCAAA